CACCACAGGAGGAGAACTCAACACATTAACTCTGATGCCATTTAAATGCATTGAGAACTAGGTTTAAACAAAGTCTGCAGAGTAATAAAAAAAAAAACAACCAAACAAAAAACCCAAACATCAAGGCTGCCTTCCTTTCCCTAGCTGATGCTGCTAAACATTCTGCTGTTGAATTCATCGCTTGGGTACTTTTGTTCAGGTTGATTCTCAGCTGTGCTTCAGAAATACGCAGATGCAGCATCTCTTTTGTTTCTCTAAGCCTCCTAGTCTTGAGGTGCTTTTGGCTGCCTCTTCAGAATTGCTAAGTGGTGGGTGATTGATCTTATCTGAATTACCATGTAGGTTTTTGCAAGGGTGTATTATGCTCGCAGGCATATAAGTAAACGATCCATATAAAAACTAGAAACTGTCCTCCCAAAAAAGGAACATACTTGGATTTAATTATAAGGCGGGAGTATGTGTACCTTGTACTTGAAATTTCTAGGCTTTGGAGGATCTGTGAAATGTAGGTCTGACTTTCTTACAGGAGAATACTGTGGGGTTTTGGGCAGTGAAGACTTGAGTTCTTTAGAAAATAGTTTGTTTTCTCCTAACTAGTCTTTATAGAAGATCTATAGTAGTATAAACAGGGCATATATAAAACTGAATGTCATTAAAAATACACAGGCCGCCTTAGGGCTCAGATGCCAGAGCTCACATGACCTCTGACAGTCAGATGGGACCATGCTGTTAGTATGTTTTTACATTAATGCCTTTTCATGGCATGCTTTTGAGTAAAACACTTCAGGAATCTGAATAGTTTGAAGCTTAAATCTGGGTTACAGCCAGGCTGTTAGTCTTACTTATTTTATTTGTGTAGCTTGCAAAGTGTCTCTTGGTTCTAGACAAGGTTTCCTCTACAATGTTAGGTATTTTGTGTGCCTGTATTTTTCTTCACTCATTCCAGCCACTTTTTTCTTTTCTACCAGGGAGGGTCAGCTTACAAAACTGCCCGAAACTAAAAAGACACTTTTGTTTACATTTAATGGTAAGAGAACTCAGAGTGTGTGTGTGTGTGTGTGTGTGTGTGTGTATCTGGGAGAGTGTTGTGCTTTATTTATGTTCAAGTTCTGTCATCTAAGGAAGACAATATATGACAAATGACTTCATGTAACAGGATCACTGATCAATTAACCAGTAAACAGAAGGTGGTAATAACACTGGGGACTGAGTGGCTTATGATAACAGGATACTCAATCTTGCCATTACTAATCTTAATTCATACTTGTATCTTTACTGGTGGTTGTATTAGGTCATCATTGGAACGTGGCTTGTTTTTAAGCCACAGGCCTTGAAGTCTGCGCTTGCACAGTTGCTTGGTCCAACTGTCAACCTAATGCTGCCAAGTCCATCACTAAACCATGTCCTTAAATGCCACATCTACCCATCTTTTAAATACCTTCAGGGATGGTGACTCAACCCCCTTCCCTGGGCGGCCTGTTCCAGTGCTTGATGACCCTTTTGGTGAAGAATTTTTTCCTAATATCCAATCTAAACCTTCCCTGGCGCAACTTAAGGCCATTTCCTCTCATACTGTCACTTGTTAGTTGGGAAAAGTCTGACCCCTACCTCGCCACAGCCTCCTTTCAGGGAGTTGTAGAGAGCAATGAGGTCTCCCCTCAGCCTCCTTTTCTCCAGGCTAAACCCTGCCAGTGCCCTCAGACACTCCCCACAGGACTTGTGCTCCAGACCCTGCACCCGCTTTGCTGCTTTTCTTTAGACGCTCTCCAGGACCTCAGTGTCTGTCTTGTAGTGAGGGGCCCAAAACTGAACGCAGTATTCGAGGTGTGGTCTCACCAGTGCCAAGTACAGCGGGATGATTGCTCCCCTAGTCCTACTGGCCACACTATTTCTGATACAAGCCAGGATGCTGTTGGCCTTGGCTGTCTGAGTACACTGCTGGCCCATATTAAGCCAGCTGTTGACCAACACCCACAGGTCCTTTCCTGCTGGGCAGCTTTCCAGCCACTCTGCCCCAAGTGTTGCAGTGGGTTGTTAAGACTCAAGTGCAGGACCTGGCACTGAGCCTTGTGTCCTTCCTAAAGGGGAGCATAGGAGCATAAGAACATCTTTCTTTCATGAATGGTGTGAGCAATAAGGAAAGAGCATTATACCAAGTAGACAAATCCTGCCAACCTCTGTGAATTAACAAGAAACTCCTTATTTCAGTGCCTGGTTCAGGCAACACTTCCCCAAAGGATATGGAGTCTTTGCTGCCTCTGATGAGCATGGTTATCTACTCTATTGACAAAGCAAAGAAGTTCCGTCTGAACAGAGAAGTAAGTAGTGTATATTTTTATGTCTTCTGTATATTGCAACCATTACCCTTGAATCCTTAATCTTAAGATTGGGAGACATGTTTCTAATACAACTACCAGAGATACTACATCCTGCTCATGGGGAAATCCGTATTAACTGTATTTGCTTTTCTCTGTGAAAAGGGTAAACAAAAAGCTGACAAGAACAGGGCTCGTGTAGAAGAGAACTTCCTTAAACTGACTCATGTGCAAAGGCAGGAGGCCGCCCAGTCCCGTCGAGAAGAGAAAAAACGGGCAGAGAAGGAGCGAATCATGAACGAAGAGGATCCCGAAAAACAGCGTCGGCTGGAGGTGAGATGGATTTTCAGATTGTTACGAATCTGGCAGATTTCTCCTACCTCCAGGGCTGCCTGTAGGTATACCAGCAATGGCCAACTTTGGCTGCTTATTTGCTGGAAGGCAGACAACTTTCAGGGTATATGCTGTTGCTTTCTGAAACATGCAGAGACTCCCCGTGAGGAGCCAGCTCCTGTGGTTACAGATGTGAGCCCAAGCACTGGAGGTCTCTTTAGTCTGGCTCTTCTGAAATGACTAGTTTGCTTTTTGAAGAGATCAGCAATGTTCATTCAGATCTCTGTGTCCTTGCCTACAGGAAGCTGCTTTGCGGCGTGAGCAGAAGAAACTTGAGAAGAAGCAGATGAAGATGAAGCAAATCAAAGTGAAAGCTATGTGACTCCATTGTGAGAAGCGTCCCAGAGCCACCTGCAGAATTTTAATTCACAGGGTACAAAGACCTACTTAACTCCATAATCCTACGCTTCTTTGAACACTAGTAGCCATTAAAACAAATGCTCCTTGCATTGGTGTTACTTATTTAAGTATTACAGCAACATGCAGGTGTATGTAGAGAGCTTTATCTCAGCTGTTTTATTCCAGGTGGTATCAATTTTTGCTACTTGTCTGTTTAAAAAAAAAAAAATTGCAATATTCTTGAATGCTCTTTGTCATTTGTTCTTTAAAAACAGAAGATTGTAAATCTGTCCATGTGTGCTGGTAACATATTCATGCTTTGGTTTTAAACTTTGGTTTTAGTTATTGGGAGGGAAGGGGGAAAAACTTAAGGGGAGGAAAACTGCACAACAAACATTTACTGTGCATTTATTTGCATCAAGCTTGTAAAGGCACAAAACTTAGAGCCTTCCATACACAGTATGGATTCTTCAGGGATTTAAGCCCAGTAGAATAGAAGTGACTGAGTTTTTCTTTTTTTACAAACAAGAGACTGAAACAGTATTTAGGTCACCTGTGGGCATGATTGGCATATGTGTAAAACACAGATGGGTTAGATAACGAGGGAAGGGAATACGTGAACAGTTTCCTACTCATGGTGTTGAATGCTGCAAGGTTAATACAATGTGAAGTCTGTAATGTCAGCATGGTGTTTCTTCAGGAGTGAGCACATGGTGAGTTAGCAGCTTCAACTAGCTTTCCTTGAATATTTTTAACTGTATGAGTTTGCCTCAAAAACTTTTCTCCTGATCTCAGCAGCTGCTGCCTAGTTCACTTCAGCCAGAAGCTAGATTTCAGTAAAGTATCTGCAATTGCCAATTTCCCCAAGCAAGTAAAAATGTTTCAGAGGATGTGTATCCTCCTCATCTGGTAAATGATCACTTCAGGTTTTTGAATATAAATGGGGAGAATGAAGTGAATGCCCCTGTGCAAGCACTTCGCTAACTGGGAGAGCTCTGCATTTTATAAATGCTTCCTGTCTAGAAGGAATTTTATTGTTGCTTGTAACAGTTTTGTGGGGAAAAATGTCTTGCATTTTCTTGTTCAATATTCTGTGCAAACTTGGTTCTGAGGCAATAAGAATGAGCTGCTGTTGAAACAGCAATTGCTTAAACTTCTTGTTCCAGCATGGGATACTTCACACTGTAAATGCAAATGTCTGTAACCTGATACATGCAAATATATTAATTTTATAATGGTTGGTAAAATTATTTAAAAACAAAACTAATGTAGATTATGTGAAATTTTAGCACTATTTAGCTTTAAAGATGAATATGTTGTTTCACAAAGTTCTTTGAAAGGAAATACTAGTTTGTGCTCTTTTGAGTAAGTGGACAGCTTTCCTGAAGTCCCATGCACTTGTGGGCCATGGCAGCTAATTTTGTAATATGAACATTCAAATGAACAATCTAATGAAGAGTAAAATATAATTGAAACACTCCACCTGTCTACTGTACTTGGCTGGACTCTGTGTTCCTTTCATCTAGCAGAATCTCAAAGCATCCTTTGTCCTGGGTAGGTTTCAATGTAGGTTTTAAGCACGCAGCAGCTGTTGTTGTTATCTCTGCCGCGATGGTGGTAGAAGTGATTTTTTTTTTTCCACCGGGAGCTGCTCCCTGGGAGGGCGGTGGTTGCTGGGGGAGAGGGCCCGGAGGGGGAGGAAGGCGTCTCTCCCCTTGTGCGGGCCAGGGAGGGCGGAGGTGGGTTTAAGGCCGGGGCCGCGCAGGCCCGCCGCCGCACCGAGGGCGGGCAGGACGTGTTGCCCCGTGGCCGAGGAGCTGCTGGGCGGCCCGCGGGGACGAAGCCTCGGCCGCTCCGTTGAGGGACCCAACATGG